ACAAAAACAAATGTACTCTGAATATATGGTGGTTCAGAAAGCATTTAATATACTACATACATTTATAATTATTCTTTACACAAGGTAGTTTCTCTATGTATTGACATATGTTTCATCAAGTTTGATTTTTCAAAAAAGATTTTGTAAGGTAATTCATTTTGAAAACGAGATTTTAGCATATTCGGTATGAAATGCATTAGTTGAGATGTTTTTGTCAGTTCAATTATTGATTTCTATTCCCAGATGTTCATTTAATTTGATTATAGAAAGTTTATTCTAAAAGAAAAAAGAAAATTGCCATACTAAATGCACAATTTTAAGGACCAGTGTCTCGAAAATGACGAAATTTATTTTCTTGATAAAACTTGTCAAAGGGAAAAATCCAGGACATCTGTAATGGTTACATTTAAAATGTCGAGATACTTATAATTTTGAAATTGAATAAAAATTTTAATATACAAGAAAGTTAATTTTCGTTTCTAGAATCTATGACATGTCGTACTAATGTGAGAAAGCGTATTAAACAAACTAACTTTATTATAATAAAAGCGTGAAGCTTAATTGAACCACTGTCAAGTCTACTTCCTGAAACTTACCAGTTCTGGTATGAAGAAACATGGTCGTGATCTGAAACTCACCAGTTAATGGTTAATGTACGAAATATACCAGACATGTCCAGAGCTTACATATTCTGCATGTGGTATTTTCTCTGTAGACCTAAATAATATCTTTACTGATTTCCCTGTTTAAGACCTACACCTGTCAGTTTACTTAATGTTTTTATAGTTTAATCTTCCAAAAAAATACCATATTCTTTTATGTTACATCTGAGAAGTATTTATCACCATCACCATTGTTATCAAAGTCTTGTACCAGTGTTATTGTTTACCATTATCATGATTATGCCTTATTTATAAATTATGTTTTTTCTTCTTCTTTTTTTAATTCAGCTATGTTTGAAAAGAAACATGTCATTACTTTATAAGTTTATATTTGTTCATTTTTCTGAAATAAACACTTGCCAATAGTAAACGAAAATTACCTTTTGTTTATATATGCAGTAGAATATAGGTAAAGCGAATAATTATCGCTTTTGATAAAAAAAATCCCAATCGTAAATGTCTTTTTTTCTCTTTCTTTTTCGATCTTAAGTAGATAACTTTTTTATGAATTGTTATGTATCTGACATTTATGAACTCCCTTTTCCTGTAGTTCCTCAGTTATGAAATTATAAACACAGCCCATTTAAAGAATTACATGCAGGTAAAATATATCAGTTTATTTTCGCGTACGGCAAATTAAGCGATTCTGGCAGTAATCTTATTTTAGCGAATCTTATTTCATGAACATCTTTCTTTCTTATTTGCGTTTTTCTGCTAACACAGAAAGTACATTTTTATCAGAGATTTATTGTTTTTTTAGGGTAAAAAATGTTTTTCAATTTCATTATTCGTGTATCCTTTACAAATATGTATACGATATTTTACACTTATTGTCTCTATTAACATGTTATTGTTATACTGCCTATATTTTTAAACATTGTTGCAAGGTGTGAATTATCTTATCATATCGAACAATCGGTTTGATAAGAATCAACAAAATTCCCTGTTTGCTCACTGTGTATTTTATGCAAAAATTAAACAACAACAGCAGCAACATTACCATTTACCATTGATTTGTGTGTTTCAAAATGTAAAATATATAGGTCTAAACTGGATTGCAAATCGTGTGCAGATATTGAGGTTCTACAAACACGCGAAATCCCACATTACGTTGAAGGAAATTTAAGGATCTTTTTTCGCGTTATTTATTTCATGCGGAAAAAGCGAAATTGAATATATGATACACGCAAAAAAACATTATATACGATATTTTTAGATATTTTGTCAGAAGAGAATAGAAACTGCTCTGCCTTTTGGCCTTAAACCTGATTTTTTTTTTTTTTTTTTTCAGAAATAAGATGGGACTTTAAATCCCTTCATATATTTTGTCATAGGAAGTTAGGATGAAATTATAACAAGCAAGACAATAGACTTTCTTAAAGTATGTTGTACAAACATAAATAGCACAATGGCTACAGTTTATATCATGTATTTAATTTTTTTCTTTCTAGCTATTATGTTTGATAAGATGATATGTCAATATTTGCTTTTAAAATTTATCAATAAATTATTTTCTATGGTCAGTGACAGTCCTGGACACTGTAATAACGAATGACCTGAATTAATTGAATTTAACTCCTTATTTTAAATATTTTAAAATGGAAATATTTGTTTTCTTGTTTGAACATTAAACGTTTTCATACCTTTATAAAAACGATTCTATCTAGATCAGGCTGCATAGTTATCAGAACAGTTACTGAAAACATAAAATATGAAAAAGTCGTTACTATATAAAGTAACGAAATGAATATTTGGTGACACCGTAATAACGTTCAGTCATTTATTTCATTAAGCATGTGATGTACAACACACATTAATAATAATACATAATACATGTACAAGGTTTATTATTCAGGTCTGGATATAGTTTCATCAAGTTGAATTTTTAAAAGAAAATATTTAAACAAACGTACTTTATTTTGATAAAAGTGATAAAAACTTAATTGAACCACTGTCAAGTCTACATTTTGATACTTACCAATTCTGGTATGAAGAAACATGGTCTTGAAACATATCGTTTCTGGTATATAGATACTTTTTACACACTAACAGGTGACAGGTGTTGCCTTTATCTGTTGGCAGATGTCTTTTACAGTCAGTGTAAAAAATATATATATTCAAAATTATGTTAAAACATTCTTTATTTCTTGACTGATGAACTTCACATTTGGTAGGGACATACCTTGGAGGGTCCAACCTTGAATGTCACAAGGCCAAGGTCACCTGTGCTAACATAGATTTTTACACTTTTTATTCAGCATTTTTTTCTAACGTCTCATATTTGGGAGGAACGGTAACTCTTCTTGTACCAGGCTTAAGCTTTCATGTTTAATTTAGGATTGACTTAATATGAAGACACAACATCTTTAACGTCTAAATTTTTTGTATATTAAAGATTATTAGTATAATTGCCTGTAACTTGTATACAAAATAATGGATTATATTCATACTTGGACAAAACAACCTTTTGAAGGTCTTCTGAAAGGTTGCATTGACCTTGACCTTTAAAGGACATTGTCCGTCAAGGCCAAATTATTGGTTTACTTGTCATTATTTTGATATTTATACATGGATTTGATTCATATGTGGGCACACGTTCTATATTTGGACAAAGCAACAACTGTGACCAGACCGACCCATTTAAAATATTAAAAGAAAAAGCTTATTCTTTCATTAATATTTCTTTTAAATATTTGTTTAAACCGTCATAGAAAAAGTAAGAAAGTCAAGTGTTACCCGTTCCCGGCATAAACTCTTGTTTTGTGAAATTACAATAGTAAGAGCTGAGAAATTTAGCGTAAAGCATTACTTTGTAAACGTCTTGTAAATTGATATTAATCATGTTCCTAGGTCAAAATAAGCCTCCCCAGGGTCACTTGAAAATGAAAACATCGGATCGGGAGGTCGAAGGTTCGAGCCCCACGGGGAGCGTTAATTGAATGATGAATGTTTCTCGTGGGACACGTTCCGAAATGGCAGCTCTGTGAGCCGCGAGGTACTAAAATGAATTGTTACCGATTTCTATCCGCCTGGCATAGTCATAGGAGTGGGGAGGTACATGGTATGCAAACAAAAGGTGTCTCATAAGTCAGAAATGACATGCCGTTTCAGTAGGGGTGACACTTTAATAAACAAGACCTTTTATATAAGTGTTATTCTGTGATACGTTATTGCTATTTTACATGTATTTGGCATGTAGCATCAATTTTTAAATTTCTACAAAATTTATTCTAAGAATTACCCTCACGTCAAACTTGACTTCCCGGGAGTCACTTGCTTTAAGTAACCTCTATAGTTGGCATAAAGCATTTTCCAGAAGAGGCATGTCTGAAAAAAATACTTCAATCACCTAGAGTTAAAATGTCTCCACTTTAGACGTCATATAGTATCTTAAGGATAAATAAAATATAGATTTTTTTCAGATATAAGTTTCTTGATTGGGTCTCTGACCTAATAAATAGAACATTGCTGAAACATATATACATTTGGGTGTTTATTGCACCACCTTTTGCTGTGCTATTGTTGGCATCGGCTTCAGATTTGTTAATCTTTATGTTCATGCTTTCGTAAATATTAGAGCTATCACTTGAAATTAGAAAACATGTTCGCTACCAAAAGATGAAACAAAATAAAAATCAAAAACATATTTTTTATGCAAAGAATGCCTCTTTTTGGTCACCTGACCCAGAGCTGAACATTTGGGATAGCAAGTTGCTTGCCATTTGTCATTATAAACAATTTTATGTAACAAAATCTACTTCTTAACAGTATGGTGGATTTTGAACACATTTTAAAGGAATGATTCTTAAGTGGTCCTTTACAAATATCATACAAAAAGTGTTTCCAACGCATAGTCGTATAGTTTACGAGAATTAATGTGAAGTATATGACTAATGTTTTGAACAGTCACACTTTCTGAATGTTTAGGGCCTGGTCATATCCTCAGAAGCACAGTCGGTTGAGTGATTACGTAATGTATTAAATGTCTATTGTCCAATCCATACTTTTAATATTATTCAATCCTAAACTGAAAGTGTAAGTAAAAGCAAGCATAAGACTATATTGTTGCTATGGACAAGCACGTACATGAGTTCCAAAAACATTTGTTATTCTAAAAATAATATTTGTCAGCCGTGTGCTTGGCATTTATACGTCTGATAAAATATTTTCTCAGAAAAAAAAAATGAATTACACAACTGGATGCCAGCCTGACAATTTGTTATTATGTTGAACATGTTATTGTGTTATACATGTATTGATTGATTTTATTAATCTGTCAATTGAATACTGATTACACGGTCAATACATATAAGGAACATAAATATATAATTATATGTTTTATTTTATAACAAGAAATATTTTACATATAAATGTGTATAATAATTATGATATTTAGCAGGACTGTTCCTTTTACTTTTATATGTCACTTCCTTATACGTCTGTTATTTCAACATTTTTGTTCTATGCCCTGAAATTTCCCATTACAGATAGAAGTGCGCAGATATGTATCTTTGCAGCATTGTTTCTCCTCCTTAGATTTAGAGACATCAAATAACATTGTAGAGCATCCCTTACTCTACCTTCTTGTTCCATACACTTTCCGAGAATATTTAAAGCTGTTTCCCGATGTCCAAGGTCTGGCTCGATTATTATAGTTCTGAGAAGTTTTGAGAGAGCAGATTGTTTTTCATTATTTCTCCCAAGATGGCTGTTAACCTTGTATTGTAGAAAATAGAGGTAAGGGAGAGAATCCACCACAGCACAATCCATCCAGTCATCAATTATTTCTGTGCGGTATATTCTCTCCTCTTGTGTAGATCTTACCATTTCATATCTGAGTTCGGTTGGAACACAGTAAAATTCACATGGCAGAAATTTGACACATGATGCTGTTGCATAATATTGCGCATCTTCATTGTAAATGTCACATATTGCAAAGTACCCTCGTCTAAGTGACTTTCTTTCAAATTCATAACAAGCACAGAATGGCTCAACATAATTCAGATCATAGCGTCTTACAATCTCACTGAGAACCAAGTCAACTTTTTGTATGTCTTGAATACAGTATAAGATTGAAGCTAATTTCAATTTACTTGATGCAACATCTGTATTTAATCCAAGTGAGATGAGTTTGAGCGCATCTGATAAAACAGTGTTGTGTTGATTGATGTTGATGGAGGCCAGCACAGATCCGAGGGTTGTACAGCACCATGGTAACTTTAGTTGACAGGCTGTCGCAACCATTCCTTCACATTGAACATTTAATATCTTTGATATACAGTTTGTCAATATCTGTACGGCTTCATGAGGACTTTTGTTCTTTACAGGAACTGAAATGGAAATGTTTGTGGCTGTATCATATAACAGAAGTCCTGAAATATATTTACTTGTTTGAAATCGGCATAAGTTAAAAAACTTGAATTGAAGCCTAGAGCCAATATCATCATATTTAATACCAAGCATTGCCGCTCCTTTACTGTTGATAATATTGTTGACTATTTCCAGAATATATGGTTTGACTGCAGGTGATATTTTACCTCTCATCAAATTGTTCTCGGGTATGATAAAATGTGGACAGTTTTCATTGATGATATTGTTATACAGGAGATATAAACACAGTGATAGACAAGAAAGTAAATTGTTTTCTCTCCAGATGTTAAAATGTGAATTTGCAATACAGTGCAAGAGTACAGTTTTACACATATAACTGGAAATCACATGTTCAAACTGCGGGTCAAGGAATGATTTTATAATCATTTTCATCAAGACATAACAGCGAATCTGTGTAATATTAAGATTAAACATTAAACACCTTTCGGCTAAAGATGTTGATATTCTCCACTCAAGTTGCTCATGTTCACTCCCTCTATATCCAACAGGAACAACAAAGCATCCAGTTCTGCTGCAATATTGTTTTATTTCAGCAGACGGCCACTGAGCATCACTATGTTGATCCTGCCATCGTCTAGCTTGTTGTGGCCATGTTTTACAATGTAGAGCTAACACAAGGTCCATATCACAGTAACCAGGAGGTCCTTGATTTACTCCTGCTGGACCATGTACTTGAAGTCTGTCTAGGAATCCACCAAACAGATGTTTTAAATGAAATATACCAGGTAGTATAATATGTTTTAGCAGTATTTTTCCTGTTCTGTCTCTGAAGAAGTATTGATCAGATTCTCCATCAGCAGGAAGAGGAACATCCGGTCTCAGCATTTGAAGTACACAATATCCCGGAGATACAGAACTATCTTGAATCATCAAATAATTAAGTACACCAGGTATCCATTCACTCCAGTCTTGTATTACAGAAAAAGCATTTAAACAAAAAAGATGATCTGCGTCTGACCTCAATCCCATGGTGGTTGTACCTTCTGATCGACTACCGAAATAGTATGATGTATAAATATTCATATTCCATAGTTGGTCATTCACATTTTTTACTGCTTCTCTCAGAAGCACTGATCTTCTCCTCTTCAGCACTATTCTATCATCAACACCTATATCAGCTAGTACTTCAGATAATTTCATCGACACAGCTTGTGTGTAATTTGGTACTTGATACATCCTGTAAATACAATTTCTAACACATTAGTTAATTAAATTTCTCTTTTATTGATTGTATTTGGTCAGATGATAAGTGTAATTTGTAAAATATTCAAACAATTTTGCTTCTTTTTTTAAACTCATTTCCTGTGTGGAATATTTAAAAAATATTTTTCATCATTATCAAATTCTTGTATTAATTATGATTTTTCACCAGTATGTCAACATTTCTTGAAATGAATGATATATTTTACACTTTTGTATGCTATTTATTTTCTAATGCTCTTCAGAATAAACATGTTATTAATACAGAAAATCGTATAAATGTACCTTTTGTTTATTTATGCAGTATATTATGGGTAATGAGGTTTTGTAGATTACAGTGAAAGATTTCTTTTATTCATTTTGAATTTGTTAATCTAGAATATTGGATTTTCTTAAGTAATTTTACTTCGTTTTTTCTTTCAGTCTTAATAAGATAACTCATTTATGAAGTTTTATATATCAGACATTTGTTATCTCCCTTCGTTGCTAGAAAATGACCAGTCTATTTTAAGAATAACAGACATTTGGGTAATTTTTCTAAATATTTGTTAATTATTGTGAAGAAATCGTATAAAAATATTCAATATTTATATATAGTTAATATGAATGAGAGCTGAATAGTATTGCTTGTTAGATATAAATCGAGCCTTCATCATAAATAAAAAATTTGCTTAAACTGTAACAGATAAGATTATTACAGCTGCTATATTATATTCTTAATGATTCAGTGGATGTGATGTAAACCTGGTAGAATGATTTTTCTTTTAAGCCCAGACATGAACTCTTGTTTTACGTCTTCCACTGTTATTATCCACTCTTTATCCTTATTTACATTTAACAACAATATTTCCTCCTAAACAGCATGGTTTATTTTTACCAAACTTCACAGGAATGATCCTTAGCAGGTAACCCTCTAAAAAGCTATATAAATGGTAAAAGTATGATGCATAGTCACAGGAGCAAAGGAGCAAAAAATTCTCTTGAACATGAAAATTATTGTGATAATTGTTTTCAGAAACTGTAATGACCAGAGCTTAGGTATTTGACATGAAACATTACACTGTAGTCCTTAACAAAAGTAATATAGAGATCATGCCCCTGGGATCAAAGATGGCCACATCCTGAGTTTCGCTTAGTTCACATAGACCAATATATGGGAAAGTATATTTGAATCTTAACATGTGACTTTTCATGTGCAGAGTTTAAATTTTATGCATGTGATATCCTCTTATAGACATACATTATGTGTTTATTGATTTTCTTATTAAACCCACTCTGTCACTGATGATCAATTTTTTTATTGTGAAATATTCAAATAACAATTTATCACTTAAAACATTTATCTTTATGATACATCTTTGAAGTAGCTTACACCATCTTCTTTAGTATCAATTAGTTGTACAATTTACATAGCGTAACAATGATTTTTTCTTCTTTCTCTTTCTTTTATTCGCGTGTTTATGATAAGAAACATAGAATTACTTTATGATCCTTAGTTTCTCTTTATTCCTTTCTCTAATGGAAACACATGTCAGAAGAAAAAGAAACGTACCTTTTGTTTATTTATGCTGTAAATTATAGGTAATTTGGTCTGTAGATTTCAACACCTTTCAGGGAAACCACATTTGTCAATTTCCCGATTGTGAAATGTTGGATTTTTTTATAATAATTTTACTTCCTTTTTCTTTTCAATTTTAAGAAGATAACTCTTTTTATATTTTTTAATATATCTGACATTTGATACCTCTCTTTCTTGTAGTTGATAAAGAACACAGTCCATGGCATGTGGTTTATTTGTCATGTCAATAATTGTATAATTATTGTAAAATAATAAAATAGCTTGAACCCTGAATTTAATTTTTTCAGAAAAAGAGAGAACTAAAAATAAGACAACATGCTATCTTAAAGTATGCTGTATTTTGATGACTATAACAAGCAAACATTACATAATGATTACAGTTTATATAATGCATTTAAATTTGTAGCACATTCTAGCTATTTAGTCTACAAATATGTTGTATTTTTTATTACGAAAACAAGAATACGTAACAATCATAACAGTTTATATAAAGCATTTTTTCTATGATCAGTGACAGTCCTTAAATAAATGGACACTACAGTACGGAATGAATTGAACTTTTGTTTGCTTATTAGGGGAAATAATAGCATATTAATTATAAAAAACAAAACAATGTAGGATATTTATTATAAAAAAGAAATGAAAAATCTAGAAAATTTAACATTGTATTTCATGAATAATGAATATTTTGAAATTGAATTTTAAGACAAATATTGTAAATTACCAAAAAAGGGGCAACAATATGCAAAAAAAACAGCCCTTACTATGGTGACTAATTTGGAACACTTGTGCGTCGTGTTGTCGCTAGCAACATCACGACAAAGCGCCAAAAGTCGCGTTGTCGTTTGGCGTGTTATCTCGATGTCACAAAGTCATTCAGCTCAAATCGAATGATTGGCTTCTTGTATGTATAAGCAGAGCGACAGAGGCTGCACAGCAACGTGCGGTTTTCGGTGCTTTCCTAGCGACAGGACGACAAGTGTGACCACGCGCCGTCTGGGGCGTTTTCCTAGGGACAAGACATAAAAGCAATAACGATATACATGTAGGTTATGTTGTCGCTATCGACAACGCAACCAACAAGCATAGTGCACAAAATCAGCAACCAGACCATACTATATGAATTACGCAGTATAACTATAAATATGGTGATAAATGCGGCAAAATCATTCAGTTCAGAAATCGTAAGATGTAAATATTGAAACTTTTTACTTATCTAAAAATCTTTCTCTTAGTACATTGTTCTCAAGTTTGATTTTATTGAAATATTTTTGTTTGTCTGGATGCAGCTTTAAATCCTTGAAAAGGTTTAATATCATAAGAAATATGACAATTCAAATCATGGAAAGTTATTTCTTGAAAAAGAAAACCATTAAAAATGAGAATTCAAATGTTTCAAATGTAAGAACATTATGTTTTTGTTTTATGTAGACATCATGTGTTATATTAAATCTGTGTCATATTTAGATATCTTTGTGATTTGTTATATTTTATCATTTCTCTATGTAATTTAATGCCATGTTTTATGAGAGACATTTTGACTGAATAGGCTGATTGGAAACAAATGAAATGCAGACAAAGGCAAATTTTGTTTACATTTTTGTATACGGGCCAAGCAAAATTGTTAGCACATTTAGCCATGTGGGATTCTATCCTTTTGACTATGCTCGATGCTAGATAGTAAAACAAACCCTGGGTAGTATTATGAATTACTTATATTCATTGAGAAGTATTCAGTGAGTCTATGTGACTGATTATAAACTATTATGCAGAAGACATATATAAAATTTTAAATGAAAACCTATAGTAAATGTAGATATAGCAATCGACTACAACAACATTTGTAAATTCATGAAGGGATATTATTAGGCAAATATCAGTACAGGAGAACAGTTGCTTGTAGTTATGATAAATCTGTGCTAGAGGACAGTTGCTGATAAATCGGTGCTGGAGAACTGATGCTGATGAATCTGTGCTAGAGGACAGTTGCTGATAAATCGGTGCTGGAGAACTGATGCTGATAAATCTGTGCTCGAGGACAGTTGCTGATAAATCGGTGCTGAAGGATAGTTTGTGATAAATCGTTGCTAGAGGACAATTGCTAATAAATCGGTGCTGGAGGCCAGTTGTTGATAAATCTGTGCTCGAGGACAGTTGCTGATAAATCTGTGCTTGGGGATAGTTGCTGATAAATCGTCGGTGGAGGACAGTTGCTGATAAATCGGTGCTAGAGGACAGTTGCTGATAAATCGGTGCTGGAGGACAGTTACTGATAAATCAGTGCTAGAGGACAATTGCTAATAAATCGGTGCTGGAGGACAGTTGTTGATAAATCTGTGCTCGAGGACAGTTGCTGATAAATCAGTGGCTCGAGAACAGTTACTGATAAATCAGTGCTAGAGGACAATTGCTAATAAATCGGTGCTGGAGGACAGTTGTTGATAAATCTGTGCTCGAGGACAGTTGCTGATAAATCAGTGCTCGAGGACAGTTGCTGATATATCGGTGCTAGAGGACAGTAGATGATGAATTGGTGCTAGAGGACAGTTGATGATAGATCGGTGCTGGATGACAGTGGATGATAAATTGGTGCTAGAGGACAGCTGCTGATAAATCGGTGTTACGGGACAGTTGCTGATAAATCGGTGCTAAAGGACTGTTGCTGATGAATTGGTGCTAGAGTACAGTTGCTGATGAATCGGTGCTGGAGGATAGTTGCTTAATAAATCGGTGCAAGAGGACTGTTGCTGATGAATTAGTGCTAGTGGACAGTTTCTGATGAATCGGTGCTCTAGATGACAGTTGCTAAAATCGGTGCTGGAGAACAGTTGGTGATAAATCAGTGCTGGAGGACTGTTGATGATAAATCGGTGCTGGAGGACAGTTGATAATTAATCGGTGCTAGACGACAGTTGCTGATAAATCGGTGCTAGAGGATAGTTGCTGATAAATTGGTGCTGGAGGACTTTGCTGATAAATCGGTGCTAAAGTACAGTTGCTGATAAATTGGTGTTAAAGGAAATTGGTGCTGGAGGACAGTTGCTGATAAGTCGGTGCTAGAGGATAGTTGCTGATAAGTCGGTGCTAAGGGACAGTAACTGATAAATTGGTGATAGAGGACTGTTGCCTGAAAAGTTAGTGCTAAAAGGACAGTTGCTGATAAATCGGTGCTTCATGACAGTTGCTGATAAGTCGGTGCTAGACAGTTGATCAATAAATGAAATAAAATATATTATTATATTATATATCATTATATCGATATATTACAGTTCAGAGCATCTTGAAAAATTACCTTTTGTTTAATTATTCAGTACATTTTAGGTAATGAGTATATTAGTTTACAGTAAAATAGAGAAAATAAGAAAATATGTAAATCAATTTTATATTTTCATTTCACAATTCTAAATCTAGAATATTGTTTTTTTTATACTTTTACTTCCTCTTTCTCTTTCATTCTTAATAAGATAATTCTTTTTTAATTCTTATATAGCTTACATTTCTTATCTCCCTTGTTTAAGTTGATGAATCTTCCTCAGTTCTAGAAAATGACTAGACTATTTTAAGAAATTACAGACATTTGGGTAATCTGTCTTAATATTTTATCAATAATTGTAAAGACATCGTATAATAATATTCAGTATCTATATATAGTTTATATGAATTAGTGCTGGATAATATTTCCTGTGGGTCACATGAGTACAAGCCTGTATTCTTAAAAGTTCGCTAAAATCTGTAACAAATTAAGACACTGAATGTGGTAGAAACCTGGTTGAATCTAGCTATTTAATTTCAAAGTATGTTGTATGTTTGATGACGAAAACAAGAATACATTAGACAATAATAAAAGTTTATGTAAAGTATTTGTACCACTTGTCTAGCTGTTTAAATTTATATACAATGTGCATTTAATGTAAATATTTCGTTTTCAATATATCAATAAATTATTTTCGATTATCAGTCTTAAATTAAATGGACAATGTAGTACTAAATGAATTGAAATTAGTTCATTTGAAAAATATTTTAATATGTAGATATTTGTTTCTTGTTTAAACATGCGTTTAAAAGCGATTTCACCAGGATTAGACTACTTAGAAAACATACTTATAACATGTCAAAATGTGTAAAATATAGAAAAAATGGTACTCTTTTATAATAAATTTATTAAATAACTGGTGGGTCAGTCAATGTATGTTCTTAAAGTCTGGACATACATTTCATCAAGTTTGATTTCTTTTTTAATTTTGTTTAATCAAATTAATTTGATTATGGGCTTAACTTACTCACTCTCAAGTCTACTTCCTGAAATTTACCAGGTAAAATAAATAGTCGTGACCCCAGAATGGCTCAAACCTCATGATATCTGGGTTAATAGGCAGACATCTTTACAATGTTAGTATGGGTTTTAAAAAATGTGTTTTTTCGAGGTGAGGTAGATGTTATACAATTTATTTTCTATGATCAGGGACAGTCCTAAATCAAATGGACACTGTAGTACTGAATAATTGAAATTAGTTCATTTGAAAAATATTTTAATATGTGAATAATCATTGCTTGTTTAAACATGCGTTATAAAAACTATTCGACCTAGACCTGACTACTTGAGTTATTAGATCAATTACTTGTAACATGTCAAAATGTGTGAAATATGTAAAAATGGTTCTTTGTTAACTTCATAATAACGAGATAAAATAAATGTTGGTTCAGTCATTTGTTGCATAAAGTATTTAATTTACCACATACTTTTATACTTATTCTTTATACAAGTTATTTTCTTAACGTCTGAACAAAGTTATTTTTTATAAAAAAGAATGTTTAAACAAATTAATTTGTTAATGAGCTGCTAAATACATAGAGTAGTAGATATATATTCAGATACATCGGCAGAAATATGGACGGCAATCTATAATTTGATTAATTTATGCAAGTTAAGTACTCTAATGTATATAGTAACCATTGATATATGTTTGTAAACAAAAAGTAAGCTGGTAAGAAAAATATGAACATGTTTGTATAAATGAAAGATGATGCAGAGTGATATCTGAATATGTTTGTATATATATAGGAAACTGGTATGTGATATATAAATATATGTGTGTATATA